ACACGAGCATAGTTTCTAACCACTCAAGGCCAGGTCCCTAGGATGATGACTCCAGCCCCCTTAAGTTCCTGCCTGGAAAAACTCAAGGCTGCCAGCAGAAGGTACTGTTTGTTCCAGCCAACCCTGAAAGATAGGGTCCCTGTCTCACAGTCTCTGGAGGAGGGGAGGAGCCTGATAGCAAATCCCCATGTAAATTTCCACTTCCCTGACTCTGCTGGGCCATCCCTTATTTCCCCCTCCCTACTTCCTCTTTCTCCCTTTAAAATGCCCAGTTACCTCTACACAAACTGAAGTTGATTTCAGTTCACACTGAACCCTCTTCCCTGTGGCAATAGTTATTGAATAAAATCTGTTCTTGCTGCTTTAACTAGTGTCCTGCTTTGTTTATTTTTGACAGCTGGAAAGTAGTATTCCACTCCTCTTTCCCCATCAATTAGGATGATGATCGGTGCTCTAAGTGAGACCCTGAATGATGGTGGCTTAGACAAGATGAAGATTTGGAACAGCAGCCTAGGGCTGCCATGGCGGCTCCACAATCATCAAGGATCCAGGCTCCCAATATCTTATTACACCTCTCTCGGGCTGCTTCCTTCCTGTGGTCCAAGAAGGCTGCCCCAGATCTGGCCATCTGGTCTGCATTCCAGTCAGCAGGAGCTTCCGGAAGTAGAAGGTAGCACACTTTGCTGGAGTCATATAACACTGACCAGAAATTGTCTTCAGGGGAGTCCTGGAAATGGGGTGGGGGCAGCCATGAGACCCACCAAACACTATTCTTGTGTCACAAAAGGAGGCTGCATATGAGGATGGCTAGTCCTCACCCCCACCCACCCCACCTAGTACCTCAGAGGACTCTGCAGTTGGGGGGCTTTGGTGGTACTTACTGGTGGAGAGTGAAGATGTAGCACATCCATTGTGAAGACAGTTCATGGGGATCACCCCGTGACTGCACTCTGAAAGCAAGATGGGAGTTTTCAACTTTGGGATTCTTATCTTCTCCCGAGATCGAGAGCTGTTTGGAATGCGTGTGGAAGAGGAGTTGGGTGGGGAGAGGGTGGGAAAGCACCTGAGCTTCATTTGTGAGGAGGTGGGGCCTGACAGCACCACCAGCCTCACCTCAGCTCCGAGTCAGAATGGCTGTGGCCAGGGGCTTCAGGTACAGCTCTGAAGTACAATGAGTGCTTTTGGCTAAGTCACTGATTTGAGCTTTTCTTTCCACCTTGGCAAACTAATCTTCCCTAAAATGGTCTTCAAACTTTTTTTTAATGCAATTAAACTTATTTTTCAGACAGAAATTTAGAGAGAACCCCAAAACAGATGAAAGTGGAGCTTCTCAAGTAGAGTGGGGAATTGGGGTGTTGCCCACTGGGTCTCACAGACTTTCTTGAGGGATGTGAATCACCTCCAAAGAACTAGATACGGCAGAGACTACCAACCACTCCCAGACTCCAAGTCTTGCCTTCTTCCATTTAGTAATTGGACCCCTCCCTGCTGAGTTTTGGCTGGGCACATGCCCAGCTTCCCTTCAAGCTTCTGGCTAGTGGGTTGTGAGCAGAAGTAAAAGGGCAACTCTCAGGTGATGTCTTTAAAAAGAAAGCTCTTGGCCCTCTGCTTCTGCTGCCCCCCCACCTGGCTGGGAAAGGGGACAACTGGAGTGGCATCTTGGACCCACAAGTGGATACCATGTATCAACGATGGTAAAGCCAACATGCCAGCTTCGGTGCTCAGGTGACCCCATGGAGCAGTGCAATTATTGCTCTGGACCACCCACCTGCCCACCATCTGTACTGCTACCTGAAAGAGAAACGGAGGCCCATCTTGTTAAAGACAAGTGTGTTTGGGTCTTTTTGTACAGTGGCTTAGCCAGTTGCCTAACTAGAAAACCAAGGCTGAAAGAAGCACAGTTTGCTAACCTCTATATTATGCACTCCAAGCCTTCAGCAGTGTCAGTTTATAGAAGACCATTTCACTCTTATAACACATGTTCCCCTGGGGCTTTGGCCCACTTTTAAAGCTTCTTCAGCTCTACCCCAATAAAGAAATCTGTAGCTTTGTTGGACGAGAGGATCAGAAAAGTTGGTTCATCCAAACAGTCACAAATGTAGACACTAATTTATAAACTGATGTAGCAACACAAAGCAAATTAGCAAATCTGATTTCTGTTCCCTTTTCTCCTTGTATCATTTCCTGCCATCTCCCACCTTTCCTTTATTCTTACCACTCCTTCTCACTCCTCTTTCCCTTTGCATTTTCTCTGGAGTGTCTAAATAAGTTGTTCAAACATGTAACATTCCATGGCTCATCAATGATGGCTCACGGAAAAGTAGGAAGGCAAAGCATCTAGGACACAGCTGACTGCTGACAACTCAAGTACCAGGAGATGGCAAAATCACATGAGAGCTAAACACTGTGGCAGGGAACTGTCTTCCTATTGAGACACTGCTAAACTGCAGAGGGAAAACAGAAAAAGTCAAGGGTAATCTACAAATAAAAAGCAGCTATAAAATGAAAGAAATGTGAAGTGTTCAGTGGACCTTCCTTTCAAATTGTAAACTTAATAACTGCCAGCATTTAAGAGTCAGGCATAGGTCTAAGTGTCTCACATACATGAGCTCTAATCTTTGCAGAATTACGGTCAACATTCTCCCATTTTACAAATGAGGAAACTGGAATACAGAGGAGTAAGATTTGGGATTTGAACCCAGCCTTGACCGTTTTTCCCTCATACCACCCTGCCTTCCACTTTAAACAAGAAATATAAAGTGTTAAAAACTGGCCTTGGAGAACGTAATGGTTAATTTTATGTCAACTTGGTTGGGTCATGGTGTCCAGATATATGGCCAAACATCATTCTGGATGTTTCTGTGAGGGTGTTTTTGGATGAGATTAACATTTAAATTGATGAACTTTGAGTAAAGCAGATTGCCCTCCCTAATGTGGGTGGGCCTCATCCAATCAGTTGAAGGCAGGCATTGAACAGAAAGACTGACCTCCCCGGAGTAAGAAGGAATTCTGCCAGCAGTCAGCTTTTGGACTTGAACTGCAGCATCAGTGCTCTTCCTTGGATCTCCAGCCTGCTGGTGCACCCTACAGGTTTTGGACTTGCCAGCCTCTCGAACTGCATGAGCCAGCTCCTTAAAATAAATCTCTCTCTCCCTCTCTCTCTCTCTCTGATTCACTGCTATAGGCTGTTCTGAACTGCTTTCCTGTAACCTTCAGGGGTTTCTCTGTGAAGGGCACAGCCACACGTACTCTAAGTGAGCCAATCTGAAGAGGCTGAGGCCAGAGTGGTGTCCTTTCCCAGTCTGTAATTATGCATCTGCGGCAGAGTCCTCTTCCTGGGTTTAGGGGGTTTATAGGAGGACTACTTTTCCCAGTCTCCTTTGCAGTTAGGGGTGATCATGTGACTAAGTTCTGGCCAATGAAATGTGAGTGTTGTGATGTGAGCTACTTCCTGGCTTGGCCCATAAAATCTTCTGGAATCCTCCAGCTCTCTCTTGCACTGTTCCAGCAACCTGGGAAGTTCATATTCAAAATGAGCTGACTAGAAGATGGAGGAGGGCCACCAGCACCATATTAGACTTTGCATGAGCAAAAGATAAAACTTTAAGCCCATTAACTTGCTGTAATTTGGATTTACTTGTTCCCTCCTCTAGGCTCTTCTGTCCTGATGAAGGCAGCATCCATTAGTTTCTGTATCAGTTAGAAGAGGCTAGGCTGCTATGACAGAGACTCAACAATACAATGGCTTAAAAATAGAGTGGCCAGGGGCTGGCCCAGTGGTGTAGTGGTTAAGTTCACGTGCTCTGCTTTGGCGGCCCAGGGTTCGTGGGTTTGGATCCGGGTGTGGACCTACACACTGCTCCATGCTGTGGCGGTGTCCCACATACAAAATAGAGGAAGATTGGCACAGATGTTAGCTCAGGGCAAATCTTCCTCAAGCAAAAAGAGGAGGATTGGCAATAGATGTTAGCTCAGGGCCAATCTTTCTCACCAAAAAAAAAAAATAGAGTGGCCAAATGATCTGTTTACACAAGCAATCCCAGTATAATTATTTTCACAGGTGTCTCAATTTGGATGATAAATTATATGGACACCCTACTTAAAGAACAAAGAACTTTATATCTCTCTCACGTCACAGTCCAAAGCAGGCATTCCTGCCTGGCAGCTCTACCCTCAGTTCCTTTGACATAACTGCTCTGCAGACTTCAGGGCATTGTTGTCATCTGGATGGTTGGAGCTGGGCTGCTGCCATGCCGAGGTTGTCATCAGTGATTTTTTTGTTTTTTAATCTTCTGATTCCCATTGATGAAGAAAAAACAAAGTGGAAGTCACAGTTTGAATATACCCCTAGACCAAACACTCTTAGATACGTAATCAAAACTTGAAACTGCTCTGATTTCCCTAAAATGCTGACTCTGACCTTAAACAAAACTTAAGCTTTCTTCCTGTCAGTTCAACCTTACAGCTTCCTAACTAATCAGCTACACACAAGTAAGCTTATGTAGTGCTTTAACCCTAAAAAGAATGTAGTTTGGAGTAACCAATCATGATAGAAAACAATGTATTTCCTCATTCACACTTTATAAACTGAGATGTAACTGCTGAGAGCTGAGCTATAACCACTTTTGGTTGCAAGTCTCCCTGTTCACAAATAGTGTGTTTCTCGCTCAATAAAATATTCATATTACGTAAAGCTCTCTGGTATTTCTTTTGACACCATTCTATACTGTGAGCACAAAAAGACCAGGGGTCCAAGTTTTTTTTAACTTCTTATTTGAGATCATTTAGATTCACATGCAGTTGTAAGAATACAGAGATCCTTTACCCAGTTTCCTCTCAAGAATAACATCTTGCAAAACTATGATATGACATAACAACTAGGATGTTACTATTGGTACAACCCAAAGATCTTGTACAGATTTCCCAAGTTTTACTTGTACTCGTGTGTGTGTAATTTAGTTCTATACAATTTTATCACATGTGTAGGTTTGTATAACCACCACTACAGTCAAGACACAGAGAGGCCAACTTTTTTTTGCTCACTGTCACTTCCTCCAAGGCCTAGTGCAGTGCCCCACACAAAGAAGACAGTAAATACCTGCTGAATGAATGAATGGTGTACTAGCTAGGGTTCTAAGATGCCATAACAAAGATGCAAAAATCCAGCAGTGTAAATGACATACGTCCAGAGGTAGGACTGGTGGGACAGCTATGCCATCCACCTCTGGGCCAGGTAACTGCTGCAGTCCCACCGTGTTCCCAGCTGATGGGGAAAGGAAAGGCAGGGCACACCCAGTCCTTACAAGGGCAAGGCCTGGAGGTTGCACACATTGCTTCCCCTCACATCCCATTGGCCAGAACTTAGTTGCAAGGACACACCAAGCTGCAAGGGAGGCTAAGGTCAATTGTATTATCTGCCTGCAATTCGTCCTTCCCTCCCTGCCCTTGGCTGTTCACCATCCAAGGTGTTCACAAACGTGCAGAGGACTTCTTCACCCCATCAATGTTGGCCTTTGGCCAGCGGCATGTGGGCAGATGTGACAGTGTGTCGGTTCTGAGACAAGGCCTTAAGCAGCCCCACTGGCACCTCCATGAGAAGAGCCTACCCAGGTAGCCATTGGTCCAGAGGATGAGAGACAAGTGGAGCAGCCCTAAATCGCTTCCCTAGCCTGAAGGAGAGCTGCCTCTGCTGACCTGCAAGAAAAGTAAATGGCTTTTTTTGGTAAGCCACTGAGATTTTGGGCTTGCTTGCTATGCATCACTAATGCAGCAGAAACCTAACGCAGTGGCCAGGAGCACAGCCTGACTGAGGAGTTCTACTATTGAAAAGGGAAGAACGCACATTGGTGTACTACAAACATCCTGTGGGTATGAGAGGGGCCTCTCCCTGGGTGGAGCAGAGACAACTTGACCTGTGGAGGTTCATCCTTTGGGAGCCCAGAGTGTTGCCTAGCCAGCTTAGTTAGTGTGAATGTAACGTAAGGGGGCACGCTTTCCTGAGACTCAGTCATGAGTAGAGCCACTGGGGATCAGCTGACCTGGGGCCAGCTAGAATGGTGAGAGGAGACTGGGAGTACCTCTGTCTGGCGGCATCTTGAGAATGAAGGGCAGGTTGGAAGTGGGAGGAATGATGATAATAGAAACCTGTCAAAACAAACAAAACCGTCATATTAACAAACAGTTTGAGAAGTTTTCCCCCTGAGTCAAGAGGTGTTGCTAATAATAGAAGCCTGAAATAACCATGTGTTTTACCATACTAAATAATCAGTGTCTATCTGTTGCCAATACAGCTGTAGAGAATGATGCCATTCCAATCTGGATCCTTTACAAGATTTGGAATGCATGGAAAAGATAACTGATGCTTCTACCAGATCAGTCAAAATTTACCTCTAAAGGATAATTTCTCCACAGCGCCTCGGTGCCTCATAGTTTGCATGCATCCTCAGCACTCATAGTTTGCATGCTGAATCCAGCTTTTTAAAGGAAGCAGCTCTGCACTACTTGCCGATTAGTCTATCAACAAGAATTTGAGTGTGCAGAAATGGCAATGAATTTATTCTACCTTGGAAATTGCGAGAGACGTGCAAGAGGTAAAAAGCTTTTGAAAGCATAGCAATTTGGATGTGACTATCCATTCTGCGGTAGATGAATTACTTCCTGATAAAGGACTGGCTGCTTACTTGAAACTGATTGAAGAAAATAAGACATAGTTTAAAACATTTCTTCAGATACAAATATACCCTAAATTTTACCCATTTTGGTTTTTTTTGGTATTTATTTCTCTACTTTTTATTGTGAAAACTTAAAAACAGTTAAAATGTTGATAGAACCACAAATGCCTTCCATCTAGATTCAGTGGTTGTTAATGTCTTACCATATCTGCTTTCTCTCCTTCTCTCCTCCTCCATCACACCCACTCTGCCACACCAGTTTTTTTGTGTGTGTGTGAGGAAGATCGGCCCTGAGCTAACATCTGCCAATCTTCCTCTTTTTGCTGAGGAAGACTGGCCCTGGGCTAACATCCATATCCATCTTCCTCCACTTTATATGGGATGCCGCCACAGCATGGCTTGACAAGTGGTGTGTTGGTGTGTGCCCGGGATCCAAACCAGCGAACCCCAGGCCGCCACAGTGGAGCGCGTGCACGTAACCGTTACACCACCAGGCTGGCCCCTATGCCACACCAGTTTTGAAAATAAGTTGTCAGTATAACACTATGATGCCTATATACTTCAGTGTCAATCTCCTAAGAATAAGGACAATCTCCTATATAACCACAATGCCACTATCACACCTAAGAAAATTAACAATCATTCTACGATCACAACTAATATCCAAGCCATATTTAAAGTTTCCCTAAAGATTTCTATGTAATCTCCTCTCATGATCTAATCAAGGTTTATGGATTCCATCTGGGGATTAATCTGGAAAATCTCCCCACCTTAACTTCTGTTTGGTTTTGACTTATGACACTGACTTGTGAAGAGTCCAGGCCAGGTGACTTACAGAAAGTCAGACATTCTTCGTTTGTCTGATTGTTTCCTGATAGTGTTCTTTAACTTTGACTTTTAAGCCTGTATTGCCCTTAAAATGGAAGTGAGGTCTGGATGCTTGATTAGGTTTGGGTTAAAGATTTTTTGCAAGAATACTTCAGTGGCATCTCATGAGGAGGTTCATACGTTGGGTTTTTCCACTACTAGTGATGCTAAAGGTGATGACTTGGTTGAGAAAGTGACTGCCATCTCTCCATGGAGAAGCATCTGCCTGGAAACAGAGACTGAGGCAAAATTTACATGCTCAAGTTTTATGATGGGTACAATCCTATGAAAGCAAAAAAGGGGAAAAAAAGAATAACCAGAAAAGGAGTGAAATGAATACAGGGTAGTTCGTTGCTGAGCTGGTCATGGCTTCCTAAGCAGTCCAGCTGGTCGCTTGGTCATGTGGGACATCTTTGAAGATGCCCTGTGGCACTATCATATCCCAGAGGAGTCCTTCTCTGAGACAAAATCCACGAAAGCCAGGGCCTCCATGGGTCCCACTGCGATGGACCTGGGCGTGGGAGCTGCCGCAGCTCCTCCCTGGCAGGTGTAATGATGGCCTTGCCAAAGGCAGAGATGTCTGTCATTGTAGGAGGTGAGGTGACAAGATGAAGGCTGGAGCTTTACAACCATCACTGAGTCAGGGTAAGTGGGTCCTGAGGGGCCGATAGGGCCAAATGCCTCTGTGGGAGTGGGCAAATATTGGATCCAGTACCAAAAGGAACATCTTCCCCTTTGAAACTAGTAATGATCTATGGGGTGGTACTTTGCCCCTGTGGGAACAACCTATTGTCCAACTACCTTCCACGTAATGGTTTTAGTACCCATTGATTATTCTTGCCTGTACCAGTTACTACATTGGGAGATGCAAGATATGGGGGCTAGTTGTCCCCATTGCTACTAGGGTGTCACTGCTTCCAGGCCTCTGCAGGAACACAACTAGGAGATTATAGATATATGAAGTGGCATGAGTTCATATTGTTATTGGCATTTAACATAAGTGCTTTTTTTAAAGTTTTTTTATGTTATCTTTTTCCTCTTATGTTGGAAATTCCTGGTTCCCAATAATATTAATGTATGTATAGTGAGAGTAGTGTGTTCAAGTTACCCAAAATTACTTTCTACTTCATTGTTGGTTCCATAACCAATTTTATATAGAGTTAGGTCATTCGTGTCTTTTAAGGTCCAATTTTAAGGCATTTCTCCTTTAAGATTTACTTTTATTTCTGAGTATGTAAAATACATGGTTCAAAAATCAACATTATAGGGGCCAGCCCTGTGACGTAGTGGTTAAGTGCACGTGCTCCACTGCTGGCGGCCCAAGTTCGGATCCTGGGTGCGCATGGATGCACCGCTTGTCAGGCCACGCTGTGGCGGCGTCCCATATAAAGTGGAGGAAGATGGGCACAGATGTTAGCCCAGGGCCAGTCTTCCTCAGCAAAAAAGAGCATGGATGTTAGCTCAGGGCTGATCTTCCTCACAAAAAAAAAAAAAAGAAAAAAAATCAACATTATATAAACATGTTTAATCACAGAAGTCTCACTTCCATGCATATCCTCTTCACCCCGTTCCAATCTATTCCTTATACGTTAACCATTTTCATTAGTTTCTGGTTTCCCTTCTTGTATTTCTTTTTGCAAAAATTAGCAAATACATGTATACTTTTAAATTTCCCCTTCTTTCTTATACAAAATGTACTACACTATATACTCTGTTCTGTGTCTTGCTTTTTTCCTCTTAATAATATATATCCAAAGAATTGTTCCATACTGGTTCATAGATACTTTAAATGCTAAAATTCATTAACTGTTTACTATATGTGTCAAGTGTATTAGTCAGGGTAGGCTAGGCAATGCTGTACTAACAAATAAATCCCCAAATCTCAGTGGCTTTACAAACAAAGGTTGACTTCTTGCTCACATCAAGTCCTATGTGGGTTGGGCAACGCTTCTTTGTCTCGTAGCCACATGGCCTGGAGTATGTGTCCTCCATGGCAGCCAGGCTGGGTAACCAGGCATAGAAACAGCCCATGCCAGAGCCCAGTCACATGGCCCCAAACCAACTACAAGGGAGGCTGAAAATGTGGTCTCACGCTCAGGAAGAGAAAACAGAAATGGAATTTGGTGAACATATAGCACTGTCTCTGCCACACCAGGCTTTGCATCCATTCTCTCATATAATCCCTACAACAGCTCTAAAAGTTAGGTACTTTCATTATTCCCATTTTACAGCTAAGGACGTTGAGGATCCAAGCTCTTACATTCCTTTCAAAATCATAATGTTCCTGTGTGTCAGGATTAGTTTCAAACCCAGATATATCTGCCTCCAAAGCCTGTACTCTTACCACATTCTATGGCCAACCAGTATTGTCCAGTAAAAAAGCACAGCAAACCCGTTTCATCCACGCACAAATGCAAAATTTAGAGAAATGGTGGCACTCAGAGCAATTCATACATAACTATTTAGGTTTAAGATTCATAAGCTGTTTCCTACAAAAGAGTGCAAGATAAAAATTAAATCCATGGAGGGGCCAGCCGGGTGGCATAGCAGTTAAGTTCACGCACTCCGCTTTAGCGGCCGGGGGTTCACCGGTTTGCATCCTGGGCGCGGACCTAGGGACGACTCATCAAGCCATGCTGAGGTGGTGTCCCATGTAGAGCAACTAGAAGGATGTGCAACTATGACATACAACTATCTACTGAGGCTTTGGGGAGAAAAAAGGAAAAAAGGAGGAAGATTAGCAATAGATGTTAGCTCAGGGCCAATCTTCCTCAAAAAAAAAAAAATTAAATCCATGGAACAGTAAAGGCTAAAACATCACAGGACACAATGTCTTAGTAGCACTGTAAGATAAATTTCTGAATCAAGAGCTAATCGTTACAGGAATTTTTTAAAGTTCAAAATGAAACTGTAAACATCTTTTCTTCCTCTTCCTAAGTAAAAGCTTCTTATAGTCATTGTATGAGAGAAATAATAACAATTTCAAAACCATTCAGTATAGCTCTGAGGAATTAAGCCAAGTTGAAAAACCTTCCCTTTAGAGTAGGAAATAAAGTAAATTTAAAAAATCTCCATGGCCACTTGGGCAGTGCCTTTAGTCCCACAGGATCACTTATATATTTATTGCCTAAGATTGGGTGCAACGATGTTAGATTCCAATGTATGCTTTTAGTAAGTGATTGCAGCAAAATGAACAAAATTACAAAACTGGGAACTCCGATTTAAATGAAGCATTGGCCACCCATATGCAAGGACTGCAGATTCCATGAAAAGGTAAGATGGTTCCAGAAGGGTGATTTTTCCAGAATAAGGCAAAGCTCACCCTCACCTGTGACTGTGAAATTAACTCACTTTGACTGTTGATCCCAGTTTTCACAATAACGCCTTGCAGGTCTCAACGTCCTATCAGTGTCTTTCAAATGTTTCAGACCCTGACTACAGTGAGAAATACTATTAGCCACGTACACACAGTCACTCACAGACACAAAAGGTTTATGAAACAAAATACAGGGAAACACTCTGATGCCCTTCCTTACCCCCCCACCCGCTACCGCCTGCTCTACTCCACACTACCCTACCCCAAATGCTGGCATGACCTGCATTCACAGTCTGTAAGAACTGTGACTGGCTGTTTGAAACCCCTGAGCTATGGCCTATTGCTTTGCTGGCCAATCAAACCAGCCTGTGTAGCATATTTATTTTCTCTTTTTGTCCCAAAGTTCCCAGAGGGAAGAGGGACTCAGTGCTTGGAGAGGGTAGTCACCTGGGAATCAGTAACCAAACCTGGAGCCTGGAGGGCTCAGTGCCATCTGTGGAAGTTGCCACTCCTACTTTAATTCCATCTTCACAAATGTTGAGGCTCACTTAGCATGTTGTAGTGTTGCTAAGATTGCCAGATTTAGCAAAGCAAACAATCAAACAAAACCAGGACACCCAGTTACGTTTGAATTTCAGATAAACAATGTGTGTCCCATGCAATAACAATAATTCCTTGTTTATCTGAAGTTTAAATTTAACTGGGTGTCCTGTATTTTATCCGGCAACCCAACTGGCTGCATGCCCTGACCCTTTACTCTGAAGGTCCTAAATCTTATGGATGGGTCTAGGCCGGACAGGCTGTCGGCACTGCTGCTGGGATGAAGGACATCTGCTCAGCCTCCTGCTCCTGTTCTCACTGCTGCCTATACACCCCATAGCCCCTGCAGGGTCCCCTCACCTGTGGGCACCCTCTGAGGGCACTGGATTGGCAAGATGGCACAAACCATGCTCCTGCTCTGTCCACCTGACCCTCAGGTCCTCCTGGAAGCTGGGCAACCAAACCTCGGGGATGCAGGCTGTTCCACTGCCACCTCTAGCTCAGAGGCAAAGGGACAGTCACCAGCCCTATCCAGCTGTTGAATAGAACCCCAGTCTTTCCTTCCTGCAGTCACTCCTGTCTCTACAAGCGACCCTCTCTGAGGGAGGGCCCACAGGGAGAACAGCAAATAGCTTCGACTCCACTCCACACCTCCCTCCTGCCTCTACTTCTATACAGCCCAAAGAAAATCCTGCCTTTCCATCAAAGAGCACACTCTCTGTCTACATAGGCCAACTCTGTTCATCCCCTCAGAATTAGGACATTTGGACTTTTCGTCTTATTCTCCCCTCCTTCCTCCCACCAGAAAATTGGTCATTGTCTGAAATCGCTCACAAATGGATGGTTTAGTAAGTGCTGTGATATTCCCTGCCTCCCCGCTGTTCAGGCTGTTCCCTTAATGTTTAGTTAAGAGCAAGAATAAGTCTCACCTCCTGGTCACAGCTTCAGTGGGGTTCTGAGCTCCTGGGCCTTGCAGGGCCTCCCTCCATGGCCTGGGCTGCGTTGTGAGGGTGTTGACATGTCTGTTTCTCCAACAGGATGTGAGCAGCGCAAGGACAGGGGCTCCACATCTGTGAAATGAGCACAGGAAGTGGAGTCTGTTGCAGCTGGACAAAGGGGGCACGTGGACAGTATGGGCCGTGGTCTTGGCTGTCCCTTCCTTTTACTTTCATCAAACTTTTTCAGTAAACACACCTTCTTCCCTTTGTCTGCCAAGACCCATCAGATCTGCTGCCAGGCCACAATTCCTTCTGGGGCCTTCTCTCCCTTTGTCAACACTTACTTATCCAGACCTTTCTGCCAGGGCTATCTGGGTCTTCCAAAGTGGCATAAAAAAAAAAAACCTCATTATTGCTAATGTGTAAATGGTTGCCATTGGATAAATTTGAAATTTTGTATTTAAAAAAAAACTAACAGGTATTTATTAAACTCTACTATGTGTGCCTAACACTTTTAGGGTCACATAAGGTTAAAACACAAGTTCCTGCATTCAAGAATCATACTGGAAGACAAGATTTAAATACATAAAAAACCATTTAAGAATGACCCAAAGAGACTAGTAGATAATAAAATGTATTTGAAGTGACTTATAAACGTCATATAATGACACTGTGTTTCATCATCTGTGGAATCACAGAGGATTTAATCAGCTTATCCCTAAAGTTTCCTTATTTGTTCCAAATAAATTACCAACTAGATCTTTCAAATTTTAAATAATAAAATAATGCGATATGGTACTTTGTGCCAGGTACCATTGCTGGCAGCTCCTCCAGTCTTCACAACAACACATGAGGTGGCCATTATTCATTTCCCACTTGGCAGGTGGGGAAGCTTAGGCAGAGAGAGGTTAAGAATTGCCCATGGGCACCGAGCTTTGTGGTGGCAGTGGCGTGAACCCAAGGTGGCGGGCTCTGAAGCGTGCGTGTAACAGTGTGCCGTGATGGCGCTCTGTGCAGGCCTAAACTCCTGCTTTCCCACATGTACTCACTTCTCAGATTGTACGTCCTTACTTTTTTAATGGGAAAACAATGTATCATTCTTGGAATGCCTATTCTACTTTCCATTGCCCCACAAACTTGGCCCTCTTGGTTCAAACTCATACAACTTGCAACCAAGTTCCTAACATTTTCTTGGCTGTTATCTCTTCTCTAGGGATTTGGTTTACTGGAATCTATAAATTTCACTCAGATTTTAGCCCAAAGTCCTGCCTCCACATATCACATTTCTTTCTTCATTTTCTCAAAATTTATCAGGTTAAATTTTCAGTACTTTGTCTCTCCTTTTTCTACCTCTTTCTTAATTTTGATTTCACAGCACTCTGGAGGATGTCCAAAGTGCTTCACTGAAACTTTGGTTTCCTTGGTGGCTGCTCATGTCTACTAGATCCTGTAGCTGTTCACACTCCACTCGAGTCTCTCAAGATACTGCTGGGGATGGGGTGGACTGAGGGACACGGAGAGGAGCAGACTAGGGTAGCTGGACCGTGATGAATCCCAATACAAGGCAAAGAAGAATCAGTGCTGACAGCTACTGAGGTTTCAAGGAAGGAGTGCACGGGAGCTGGCAAAAGACTCCTGAGGACTTCAGTGGGCAGAGCAAGAAGAGGGGGCGTCCTAGGCTGAGGGAGGCAAGGTCAATCTGGAGTCTTCGGGTCCCTTGGACCCACCGCCCCTGACCTCGTCCCTGGAACGAAGTGCGCATGGTGTTCCAAGTACTGACAAAGCCTAGAAAAAAAGTAAATCGAAATTTTTTCTTGGAATATTCTCCTCACTTTGGGTTGCAGCTGAGTAATCTGATCCATTTGACACATCACACCCAATTCTCTGCTGAAATTCCAGTTGTTTTTCACCCACTCAAGAAGGCACTGTCAGAATGCAAGCAAGTAAGCTTGATATTCTCCCAGACATGACTTCAAATGGGTCTGATTTATTTAGAAGAGTCAATCATCTGAAAATGTCAGTCCTTTAACAGTTACTAGGAACGGATCAGAGGTGACTGCCACACAGCAGTGAGACAACTTG